TGGACCTCAAATTATTCTTCAGAGCTATAGTAACAAAAATAGCATGATATTGGCACCATAACAGGCATGAAGATCAATAGAATATAAGACATAAAGATACACCCACATATATACAGTTTTCTTGATACTAGACAAAAGCACCATAAACATACAGTGGAGAAAAGAGAGTCTTTTTAACAACCAGTGCTGGGAAAACTGGAAATCAATATGTAGAAGAATGAAATTTAACTCCTATCTCTCACCCTGCACAAAAGTCAACTCAAAGTGCATCAAAGACCTAGACATTAGACCCAAAACCCTGTAACTACTAGAGATCTTTTTTACTAGTGAAAAATTTAAGGCTCAGAGAAGAAACAAGATCCATTAACAGTCATTCCCCATTTTCTCTCAATCTCCCCCAATCCTAAACATCCACTGCTCTATTTTCAATTTCTATGGATTTGACTAATCTGAATATTTCATATACATAGATCATATGATGTTTGATCTTTTGCACTGGATTTCCTTCGCTTAGCATAATGTTTTCAAGGTTCATCCATGTATTAGTACTTTATTCCTTTAATGACTGAGTATTCCACTTTATGAATATGACACATTTTATTGGATAAATCCATCAGTTGATGGGCATTTGGATTGTTTTTGCTATTATGAATGAAGCTGGTATGTTCAATTATATTTCATTATTTATGTGGATATGGTTACATTTTTCTTGGGTACATACCTAGGAGTGGAATTTCTGGATCATTTGATAACTCAATATTTAATATTTTGAAGAGCAGTTCTCACTGCTTTTCTAAAGTAGCAACACCATTTTATCACTAGCAGAGGTGTATTTGTATGGAAGTTCTGATTTCTCCATATCTTCTCCAATGCTTGTTACTGTCTCATTTGGATTATAGCCTATCTTGATAAGAGCATGAATCCTTCAGCTTTCTTGTTCTTTTTCAATACTGATTTGACCATTCTGAGCCCCTTAAATTTCCATATGCATTTTAGAATCAGTTTGCAAATTTTTATTTTAAAAAGCTAGCTTACATCTTGATAAGGATTGTGTTGAATCTGTTGGAGAATATTGCCATTTTAATAATAATCTAATCCACAAACATGGGATGTCTTTCTATTTATATAGGTCTATTTTATTTCTTTCAACAAGGTTTTGTGTTTCAATTTTGTACCATGTTGAATTTATTTCTAAGTATTTTATTTACAGAATATTAATATATCCTCTCTTTTTTCCTTTCACTTAATCCTTTCACAAGTCTCAGGAGTGGGTATTATTTCTCTTTGCAGAATAAGTTCAAAGAAATGAAATGATTTTGCCCACAAGGTAACCAAGATAGTATTTCTGGGAGGACTTCTTCATAAATGAGGAGGTAGTTCACTTAACATAACAGTAAATGCTTGCATGCTTTTGTTTTCCCTTTGTTTTTGTTTTGTTTTCTTTTATATTTGATATTAGTGATTGAACACTGGGGAGCTTTACCACTAAGCTAGATCTCCATTTCTTTTTATTTTGAGACAGGGCCCCTTTTAAGTCAGGCTGGCCATGAATTTGCAATCCTCCTGCCTTAGCCTCCTAAATTGCTAAGCATGTGATATCATGCTGGCTTGTTTTCCCTTGAAACCCAGGATGCAGGTCAACAAGTATGGGATGCGAAATCATGTCTCAAGTGAATGAAGTATTCAGAAAAGATAAGTGGATCTTGCAATACAGGAGAATGAACCCAGGAGCACTTTACCTCTGAGCTGTATCTCTAGCCCTTTTTATTTTGAAACAGGGTCTTTCTAAATCACCCAGGCTAGCCTGGGATTTCTAATCCTCCTCCCTCAGACTCCCGAGTTGCTGGGATTATAGGCATGTGATATTCTGCCTGGCTGACAACTGGATCTTGAATAGTGGTGATAGGTAATTCTTTCTGCCCTATCTCTTTTAGATTTCAGAAGATATTTGGAAGCGGTTTGATTTAGTAATTAAAGGCCCAAGTCCCGGCTTTGAACTCTGGCTTCAATATTTTACTTGCTATCTGACTCGGCAAATTACTTTACTTCTCTAGATTTTCCTTTCTTCTATAAAATAGAGCAGTTGTGCTGGGTGCATTGGTGCACACCTGTAATCCCAGTGATTTGGGAGGCTGCTGCAAGAGAATCCCTAGACACCAGCCTTGGCAATTTACCAAGACTCTGTCTCAAAACAAAAAATAAAAAGGGCTGGGATGTAGCTTAGTGGTAAAGTGCCCCTGGGTTTAATCCACAGTACTGCAAAAGAAAAGGCAGGGAAAAAGAGCAGTCATAAGCCCAACTACTTCTTAGGGTCATGACTGGATCAGCATTCATGTTTATAATGTTCTAGGGCCTAGCGTGTAGTAAATGTTCAGTTAAGTCTTAGTTGTAATTGTTTTTCTTACTCATAGATTAATTTTTATTCCATGCTCATTTTTTTCTTCTCAGTACAAGTTCAGGGATCTAACTGTGGAAGAACTAAAGAATGTAAATATGTTTTTCCCACATTTCAAATATTCCATGGATACCTACGGTAAGAATAATATTCTCTAATTTTTGCTGCCTTCTTTGAACTATTAATTTCTTGATCCTAAAGAACAGTAAAAATCATAATTTTTAATTTCTTTTTCTGATTTTTAACCACTTGTGATTTGAGATCTGAGGAAATTTAAGTTAATTCAATATTATTTTGTATTAGTTTTCCGCCCCCAAAAACTGGGGATTGGATCCAGGAGCACTTTACCACTGAGGCACATCCCCAGCCCTTTGAGATAGGGTCTTGTTAAGCTGTTAAGGTTGGCCTCCAATTTGGGATCCTTCTGCCAAAACCAGCCTCTGGATTGCTGAGATTACAGAATTGCCCATAGGCCTAGCTTTGAGGTTTTTTTGGGGGGGTGAGGTGGAGGAATGGTTGGTACTGGGGATTGAACCCAGGGGTACTTTACCACTAAGCTACATCCCCAACCCTTTTTATTTTTCAGTTTGAGAAGAGATCTCCCTAAGTTGCTTAGAGTCTTGCTAAAAAAAATTACTTAGGGCCTTGATAAGTTGCTGAGGCTGGCCATGAACTTTTGATTCTTCTACCTCAGCCTCCCAAGTCACTGGGATTACAGCTGTGCACCACTGTACCCATGTGTTATATTTTTATTGCTACTATAACAAATTAAAACTTACTGGTTTTTTAAAAAACAAGTTTACTATATTACTGTTTGTAGGCTAGAAGTCTATTAAAATTTTCTGTAGCTTATAAATTTAACTGAGTTCCAATAAATGAGTCAGCAGGTCTTTTTCCTTCGTGAACAATGTGGGTGGGGGCTACTTTTTCTTTCCCTTTTTCAGTTTCTAGAGGTAACCCAAATTCCCTGACTCTTGGTCTCCTTTCTCCATCTTCAAAGCCAGCAATGTTGCAAAGCCAGCATTCTTCCGTAGGCAAATCTCCCTCTAACTGCAGCTGGTAGAGGTTCACTGTTTTTAAGGACCAATGTGATTAGATTAGACCTACCCCAATAATGCAGGATAATTGAACCTTCTCAGAGTCCCTATTTTAATCACATTTAATAATTTGAAGAATGAATATTCACACATTTCCTCTAATGCATTTCTAGATTATTCTGTGTCCTTGAGCAATAATCCCTGTTCCATTCCTCTTTCCATTTTAGTTTTTCATGGATTGATGCCTTCACCCATTGTTACTTTCACTTATATAGTTCAGGGTTACATTTGTACTTACATACTGTCTTGTCCTTGAGTTTTCTGACAGCCTGTGTTATAGTCTAAATGTTTGTAACCCCCCCAATTCATATGTTAAGTTCTGATCACCAGGTGATAGCATTAGGAGGTGGGGCCTTTGGTAGGCTCTTTGCAAAAAAGTCCTCATAAATAGGATTAGTGCCCTTATTAAAAGCAGCCTGAGAAAGACTCTTGCCCTTCCCCTATATATGGGCACAGTAAAAAAACTGCTGTCTGTGAATCAAGAAGCAGGCTTTCCCCAGAAACCAAATCTGCCAGCACCTTGAGTTTGGATTTCCCAACCTCTAGAATTGTGAGAAATAAATTTTGTTCTTTAGAAGCTTCCCAGTTTATATAGTAGTTTGGTATAACAGTCAAAACAGACTAAGAGAGCCTGGTTTTCTCTTTCCCTTTTCTTTTTTTTTTTTAATTTTTTTTTATTAGTTGCTCAAAACATTACAATGATCTTGACATATCATACATTTGATTCAAGTGGGGTATGAATTCTTATTTTTCCACATGTACAGATTGCAGGATCACATTGGTTATACAGCCACGTTTATACATACAGCCATATTAGTGTCTATTGTAGTCTGCTACTCTTCCTATTCCCCTCTTTCCCTTTTCTTATAAGTCATCAAAATCTATCTAGAATTTTTTCTTCCTCTATGGAAATAGTACAGTTACTATTGAAATGTTAAAAGGATTGCTTTCCAGTGCAGTTTGATTGTTTGAAACCCTAGAGAGTGGTCTTGGTATTCAGTCCTGAGATTAGGACATTGATTCTTCACGTGTCCCAGTTATTGATGGGAAAGTTGAAATTTCAGGGACGTAAATATTGAAAAAAAGTTGAGAATAATGGATTTAAAGAAACTAAGAGAGATAATTATTGATTTTTCTAAAAGGTTGCTTTGAAAAGTAAAGCTAACATTGATTATAAAAGTGATTATAACTGATTTGTTACATGTGACAATTATTTATTACTTTAAATAATAAAATTTCATGTTTGTTTTTGGCACTGGGGATTAAACCCAGGGACATTTTACCACTGAGCTACATCCCCAGTCCTTTTTTATTTTGAGACAGGCTTTCACTAAGTTGTTTAGGGGCTGAGTTGCTGAGGCTGCCTTGAAGTTGCAATCTTCCTCAGCCCCCTGAGTTGTAGGACTATAGGTATGCACCACTGTGCCCATCCATCCCTACATTTTATAATACTTTGATTCTTATTAAGGTTTTTCACATCTTACATGAGCCTTATGACAGCTTCATGATGCAGATATCTTTATTTTATAGATGATAAAACTGAAGATCAGAGAGATTAAAGTAGCTAAAAGTCACACAGGCCTCTAAGAGGGGAGGTGGGTCTAGAACTTGGGATTTTAGTATCAAAGTTCTGTGGGTTTTTTTTTTTTTTTTTTTTAGTTGCCCTCACTGCTAAGTAAACAATATCTAGTGATTATCCCCTTGTTGTCATATATGTACTGATCCTGGTGTTTAGAGATTGTGGATGTGTGTGGATGTGCATTTATATACTTCAATATAATTCTTTCTACTTCTGATTTTACATTTTGGCACTTTTTTTTCTTCCAGTTTTTAAAGATAGTTCCCAGAAAGACCTGCTGAATTTTACTGGTACTATTCCTGTGATGTATCAGGGTAAGTATGGGAAGAAAGAAAATGTGGGAGTTTTCTAAAAGAGCAGTTCATTTAAACTTACACAAACTTACATTTGTTCATGCCATAACATTCTCAAAGTATTTCCACTAAGAGATCTATTTAGAACCTTACTGGATCTGACAGGATTCTGTCCTAGTCAAGTAAGACCTAGATTAAACTTTTTTTTTAATATTTATCTTTTAGTTTTAAGTAGATACAATATCTTTATTTTATTTTTATGTGATGCTGAGGATCAAACCCAGTGCCTCACATGTGTTAGGTGAGCACTCTACCACTTGAGTCACAACCCCAGCGCCATAAATTAAACTTTAATTCAACAATTATTTATTGTCAACTATGTGCCCATGACTCTAGTAGGTTCTGGGTTACAGAACAGAGCAAGATAGCTAGGGGTGATGGTACATACCTGTAATGCCAGCAACTGGGGAAACTGAGGCAGGAGGATTGCAGGTTTGAGGCTAGCCTCAGCAATTTAGCAAGACCCTGTCTCAAAAAAAAAAAAAAAATCTTAAAAGAGGCTAGGGACATGAAAATCCTGTGGTACAGGGTTCCTGAGTTCAATATCTCATTATGAAAAAAAAAAGAAGAAGAAAAACAATGAAAAGAGAATTTAGACAGACATGGATCTGCCCTTGGGATGAGTGATTTCTGTTTTCCATAAGAAAATACAGGAATCTCACCTTCTTCTCCTTATAACTCTGTGTTTTTTGTTTGTTTGTTTTTTCCTCTCCTCTTCCTCCTTTTATATGCTGTAGCATTATTCCCATTCCATAGGTGAAACTGATTCTTAGTCTGCTCAAGCGATTTACCTAAAACCACTTGGTACTGTTATACAGACTCCAATGTTTTTGAAAAACAGGGGTAAACATTTTAGGATGACCTGACAGGCTAAAATAGTTAAGTATTTGCCCAAAAAGAAAAGGAATAAAAAAATCACTAACTTCTATAGTTAACTGTTGTTTGTCTAGACCTACTCTGTTCAAAATGGCTAACCTTTTAGTATCATTGGAGGTTGCTTATATATGTGCTTTGAATAACAGCAATGAAGCTTTAGTTCCAAAATATTTCTCTGAAGTGGCACCCAAAATTCCATCATTAAAAAATTAATAATTTTAAAATGCAAATCATCACAATAAGAAAAATATCCCAAAGTACTAATGTACAGTGCTGTGGTTATTAGAAATTCAGTAAATACTTGTGGAATGATTGAGTTAGTTTACTTGATTACTGACTAAAGGGTTTAGGAATAAATGAGCTTAGTGGCATTTGAAAGAGGAGGTGCACTGAACAGAGAAGGAAATGGAAACCAAATAAGGACAGAACAGTGGAGCTTACTGTCTCTGGAAAGGGTTCAGCATTGTAAGAAGGGAATATATTTCCCCAAAAGACAATTTTGGGAGACTTCTTTCAAGGTTGGTACTTGTAGCTCCTAGATGATTCCTTAATTACCCTCTTCCTCTATGATGACCAAGAGGTACATTCATATTTTGTTCTTCCTCTGTGTATGTTTCACTATTGACATTTCCTTTGGCACTGGGTAGGCATTCAGGAAATGGATAGGAATTCAGTTTCTTTTAATGCATAGCTGGTAATAAGTGAAAGTAGCCATTCTTGTCCTGAGCAGCATGTTCAAGTACAGTGAAAGATATGTGCAATAGGACTATGAAAACAGGAATAAATTTTTTAAAAATAATAAAATCAATAAAAAAGAATACAGGAATAAATATTGAGATATAATAATGTTCTACACTGGCTAAAGTAATTTATTAGATATCTAGTCTAAGTTTAGTTTTCACTTACACTGAGTTTAGCTTTGAGCTTCCTGGCAACTAAGGCATTAAGGGTTATTTGGCTCTTGGTAGACATGTTCTGTGTTGGAAGAGCATATGTTCAAGTATCTATCTCAACCTTTTGAGTGGCGGAGTCGGGGGATGAAGGAGAGATTGAACCCAGGGGCACTTAACCACTGAGCCACATCCCCAGTTTTTTTGTATTTTATTTAGAGACAAGAGTTCACTGAGTTGCTCAGGGCCTTGCTAAATTGCTGAAGCTAGCTTTGATCCTCCTGCCCTTAGCCTCCCAAGTTGCTGGGATTACAGGCATGAACCATTGTACCCAGCTTCCCCCTTGTATTAAATAGTTTATTTTCTTTAATCCAAGTGCTGGGAGTTGAACCCAGGGCCTTATTGATGCTAAGCAAGTTCTGTACTATTGAGCTGTGCTCCATGACCAATTAAGTAGATTTTTTAAAAACAAATCTCATTGTAGTTATCATTTACAGACCTTTCTCCTTCTGTAAAGAATACTGCAAAAGGGATGTTTTTTTTGTTTGTTTAGTTTTGGGGTATTTGTTTTGTTTTTTTTTTTTAGTTTTCCAACAAATGCATAGGCCATTTGCATCAAAATTTTTGGAGTATGTATGTGTGGACATGGATATTATTTAAAACGCAAACACTTTGGGGCCTGATCCCATGTCTAAATAAATCTCAATCTCTGGAGATAAGTCCCAAGAATATGCATATTTTCCAAGTTCTTCAGATAATTCTTATGTTCACTAAAATTTAAGAATCACTGGGTAAGGTGACTCTTAAGATTATTTTCAGCTCTATGTTCTATATGTCTAACTCAGCGTATTGGTTATTATATCTTCAATTTTTTAGCTCATTGAGGGCAAATATCAAACTCCAGTTAGTCATTCATTAATTTTTTTCATTTGTTCATTCTGATTCATAAGAAACATTTATTAAGCAGGTAGTATGTTATATACTGTACTTGGTGCTGGGGATATAGAAATGAATGAAACATGAAGTTTACAATGTAATAAATATAGCCTGGTAAGTGAATAATCTCAGTATAGAATAAATACAAAGAGAGATATCCAATACCTTTCAAGGAAGGTACAATATCTGTTTTGGTTGGACAAAGAAAATTACATAGAAAAGATGTATCCCAAACTTCTTGTATAGTAGAACCTGTAAATATTGATTGAATTAAATTGGATGAGCTGGCCATTGTCTTAATTTCCTCATGTTATATTAGTGCTTTAACAGGAACATATTTCCAATGTGCATGAAATGAGGGAAATAGATCTTGATATATTTTAATCCTTTGTATGTAAACTTGACTTAACTACCTATTTCTTAAAAATGCCACCTTGTTGTATCATAAATATGATGTGTATGCTTCTTATTTTTGCTTATTTTATCTCAAATAGGTCATACATATAACATACCAATCCGTTTCTGGATTTTGGATTCTCACCCTTTTGCTCCCCCCATTTGCTTCTTGAAGCCAACTGCAAATATGGGAATTTCCATTGGAAAACATGTGGATGCACAAGGCAGAATATACTTGCCCTATCTCCAAAACTGGAGCCATGTAAGATCAATTTGGATTTTCTTCAAAGTTTTTATTTTTTCTGAATATTTGCCTTTGATTCTGATAGTAAAAATAAGCATACTACCGTATTTACTTCAATTACATTCTTCATATGATCTTTAAAGTAATTTAAAATTGAGTTCTCTAGGATCAGCCAAGTCCCAGAATACTGATGACAACAGCCTATACAAAGCTGCTGTCTCCAGGTCCAGGAGCCAGCTGTCATTTACCCCTTGTCTTTTTATAGCTGTTTGCTAATTGAGAAAGCACATGAAAAGCTTCTAGCAGGATGTTGGAGACTTATTCCTACCCCCACCCTATTAAAGATTTTTATGTAATATATATATTTATTTGTGATTTTGCCTGTTTTTAACCTTTATTTTTATTTTTTTTTAGAGAGAGAGAGAGAGAGAATTTTAATATTTATTTTTTTGTTTGTTTTCGGCAGACACAACATCTTTTTTGTTGTATGTGGTGCTGAGGATCGAACCCAGGCCGCACGCATGCCAGGCGAGCGCGCTACCACTTGAGCCATATCCCAGCCCCATGTTTTTAACCTTTATGTATGTTTGAATCATACCATATGTAATCTTCTGTGACATGCTTTGTTTTAATTGAGCAATAATTTTTTTGTTGTTGTTTTGTGTTTTTGTTTTATAGTGCTGGGGACTGACTCCAGTACATGTTAGGCAAGTGCTGTACCACTGAATTACATCCATGACTTGAGTATGAGGTTTTAAATTTCATCTTTATTGATATATAATTGTAGCTTATTTATGTTTTGCAAGTCCTCACATTATGAAGTTTTGTATTCTCCATTTTTCATTAATCATTATATTGAACATTTCTCCCATGTTTATCTTTTCAAAGTACATGGTTTTTAATGGTTCTTTGATGATCCAGCATGAAGATATTTACATAATACATTTCAAAATTGCCATATTACAAGAAATTTAATGATGAATACACTTAAATATAATATATATATTTAAAAATTTCCTAATGATAATCTCTAGGAGTAGAATTATTGGGTGAAAATTTTTAAATATTTTAAAGGATTTCTTCTATATTGCCAAATTGGCCTTCAAAAAAGTAAACAAAATGTTGGTTTTCTGCTATCAATAGCAATGAGTGTAGAAGGGCACCAATTTCGTTTTATCCTTGCTCTAATAGGAGATATTATCATTAAAACAAAATAAACCTTTGCTTATCTCTATATATTGGGTTAGGCAGATAGATGTACAGTATACTGTCACTTATAACTAAAAATTTTATGAAAGAATGGTTTGTAATACATTTATATGTACCCAGAAAGTTGTAGAATTTTAGGATCAGAGTTGAATGAGGTTATAGTAAAAATCGTCATTTGGGAGGCTGGGGTTGTAGCTCAGTCCTAGTGCTTATCTCACATGTGTGAGGCACTGGGTTCAATCCTCAGCACCACATAAAGATAAATAAATAAAATAAAGGTATTATGTCCATCTACAACTAAAAAATTTTTTTAGGGGCTGGGGATGTGGCTCAAGCGGTAGTGCGCTCGCCTAGCATGCGTGCGGCCTGGGTTCGATCCTCAGCACCACATACAAACAAAGTTGTTGTGTCTGCTGAAAACTAACTAACTAACTAACTAAATAAATAAATATTAAAATTCTCTCTCTTTAAAAAAAAAATTTTTAAATGGCATTTGGTTTCTCACTTTTGTGTTATAGATAATTGTGAAAATGGGTCATTATGGACATATTTTACTTTATTTGTATGTTTTTCTATATTTTGCACATATAAAACCTTTTAAAAAGAAAAAATAGAAAAAGGAAGAACATACACCAAATTATCAGGAGCAGAGCCGACTTCTATATGAACTTAATTTGCTATTTGCATTACTTGATGACTATTAAATAAGATTTCCAGTTAAATGTGATGAATGGATATAATAAAAATTAGATAATTTGAAGGACAAAAAATGGTGTATGGGGCTGGGGTTGTGGCTCAGTGGTAGAACACTTGCCTCACATCTGTGAGGAACTAGGTTCGATCCTCAGCACCACATAAAAATAAATAAACAAAATAAAGGTATTGTGACCATCTACAACAGACCATTAAAAAAAAATGGTGCCTGGATCTTAATTTTTTGTTATCCTGTTACTTGAAAAATTGAAATCTTTTTCATATTTATCAATAATGTATATTCCTTCTTTTTTGAATTGTTTATCTTCTCATCAGTAATTATCCCCTTTTTTTCTTTCTTTTTTTTTTTTTTTTTTGACCATAGTTTGAACTCAGGGGCACTTAATCACTGAGCCACATCCCTAACCTTTTTGGTGTGGGGGGGTAGTACCAGGTATGGAATTCAGGAGCACTGGACCACTGAGTCACATTTTGTATTGTTGTATTTTATTTACAGACAGGGTCTCACTGAGATGCTTTGAACTTGCAGTATTACAGGTGTGTGTTTGCAAACACACACCTAGCAATACCCAGCCTTTTTTATTTTTTATTTTGAGACAGGATCTTACTAAGCTGCTTAGAGCCTCACTAAATAGCTGAGGCTAGCCTTGTGTCAGTCTTCCAAATCATTGGGACTACAGTTGTGCTCCATCATATCCATATTGGCTTTTTTTTTTTTTTTTAAACACTGGCGATTGAATCCAGGGTGCCACTGAGCCACATCCTCAGCCCTTTTTATTTTGGGACATAGTTTTGCCAAATTGCTAAGGCTGGCCTCAAATTTGTAATCTCCTGCCTTATCCTTGTGAGACTCTGGGTTTACAGGTATGCATTACCCGCCTTGAATTCCTTTTTTTTTATTTTAAACTGTCTTCAAACCATATTTGGACATCTATACCCTATTGCAAGAATTTATGTATCCTGCTTCTTCTGATTTTCTTTGACATCTTTTCATATTTTTGTCTGTTTGCTTAATAAGTGCTCAGTAATAGTCCTATAAGTTAGTTGAGGTTATGCTTGATTTCAGTTTAGGTGGAATTTATTTCATTTTACTATTTTGAGTCTCTTTATTATAAATTAAAACTTGTCTTTAAAATATATTACATTATTTAAATCGCCCTGCTTAAAAGTACTATAGTAACTTTGAGTTCTGTATGCATTTGGAATTTTAACTATGGAGTATACTTTTTGTAGAATTTTGGAGATAGAAGGAATCTAGAAGGATTGCAGACAGTTTCCCCAAAGAGATTCAGAGGACTACAGTAAGCCTACGGAATTTTATTTGAAGCGCACAGTGGTTTTCTTTTACTTTGTTTGTTTTTGTTCTGCATATAAATTTGAATTTATATAGGCAGGCTGCTTCCAGTTTGCCAAAATAACAATCTCTCCAGGTTTTCTTTTACTTGGCAGCTTCACACATTTAATGTTATCTGGTTGGTCCTTGAAGGTATTTGAATTTTTTACCCTAATGGGCTCTTGTTAATTTATAAACAGTGAAACTCAAGTCTCTGAGAAATTAAGCACTTTTAAAATGAGCATTCTACTAAATATTCCTAATAATAATAGTAAACATCTATTTTACTCTTGTAGAAACTGTAACTTAGGTTACAGTTTCTAAGCATTAGCTAATTTATATCTCCTAATAGCCACTTGAATTTATTATTCATATTATCTTACTGGTGATGCTGAAGCTCAGAACAGTTAAGTGAATGACACCAAGGCTATTTAACTAGTTAAACTCAAAGAAAACATCATCAAATTAATTTTCTGATTTAATAATGGCTTTGTAGAAGAATGTCTTTTTTCCTTTTAAGAAATACACTCTAGGGCTGGGGATATGGCTCAAGCGGTAGCGCGCTCGCCTGGCATGCATGCAGCCCGGGTTCGATCCTTAGCACCATATACAAATGAAGATGTTGTGTCCGCCAGGAACTAAGAAAAAATAAATAAATGTTAAAATTCTCTCTCTCTCTCTCTCTGTCTCCCTCTCTCTCTCACTCTCTCTTTAAAAAAAAAAAAAAGAAATACACTCTAAAGGTTTTAGGGATAAGGAGATATCACATCTGCAGTTTATTTTCATTTGGGCTAGAAAAAAGAGAAAGATATTAAGAAAATATATGTGATAAAATGTTAACATTTGAGTAACCTGGCAGAAGAGTGTATGTACTATTTTTTCAACTTTTCTGTAAGCCTGAAATTATTTCGAAATAAATAGTTAAAAAAGATAGTTCCCAAACCTAGGTATTTTGCTGCTAGTATATTCATGCTATTTTCCTATTTTGAGAGTTGTCAATTTAGCTTTTTTTTTTTTTTTGCCTTTTATTTTATAAACACATGGAGTATTTTCCAAGAGATTTCTGGGAGGATACTACATGATAAGAGACTTTGCTTTTTTCAGTTAAAAGCATTAAAATAGTTAAATCATAACATAATTTGTACATATAGTTTTGGAAAAATTAAAACATGACAATACAGTTGATCTTTGAACAACATACGTTTGAACTATATGGGTTCACTCAGAGTTGTCTCTCTTTTTTTAACTTGCACCAATTTGAAAAAAACTTTCATATAAATCCTATAGACTGGAAATATTGAAAAGGTTAAGAAAAAGATGTGTCAATAATACATAAAATATACATAGGTAATAATCTGTTTTATTATTTATTAATGTTAAATTTACGCCAATCTATTATAAAAGGTTAAAATTTATCAAGCTGGGTGCAGTGGTACATGTCTATAATCCCAACAACTCAGGAGGCTAAAGCAGGAGGTTTTCAAGTTCAAGGCCAGCCTGGGCAACTTAGTGAAGAACCAGCAACTTAGACCTTGACTCAAAATAAAAAAATAAAGGGGTGGATATGTAGCTCAGTGGTAAAGCACCCCCCCCCCACAAACCAAAACAAAAAAAGTTAAAAATTTGTGAAAACTTACTTATGTGCACATACAGATCATACATGGTGCCATCCAGATCATACATGGTACCACTGTATGTAACGACAATAAACAGACATAAATGTGTAGTTTTAAATCATAACTGTATGAAGTTAACTGTGGTACCTTATGTATTACTGTATTATGGTAGCCTCCTCTTGGTTCTACTAAGGTACATTCATGTCACGGTTATCTGATTATCCACTTGAAATGCTCAATTATGTTAAAAATTTTAGTTTGTCTCTCCAATAAATTGTACATTATAGTAAAAATTGATCTCTCATGGATCTTGTGTAATTTTTCATTGTATATAAAAACTATAGCATGCAAAATAAACATTAATTGAGTTTATGTTATTGGTAAGGCTTCCAGGGAACAGGAGGCTATTAGCAGTTAAGGATTATTTTTGTATTTGGTGTTGGGAATTGAACTCAGGGCCTCATGAATGCTAGGCAAACTCTCTATCACTGAGCTACATCCCTAATCCTTTATTTTTTAAGATAGGATCTCCTAAATTGTCCAGTATGATCTTGAATTTCTAATCCTTCTCCCTTAGCCTCAGGAGCAGCTGAGATTACATGCATGCACCACCATGCCTGGAAGTAGTTAAGTTTAGGGGGAGTCAAGTTATACTTGAATTTTTAACTGTTCATGGGTTGGGGTCCCTATTCCAGTGTTGCTCAAGGGTCAACTGTTTTTACTTTGGCTAGTTCTATGCAATGTTAAGTTGAAATGGTAGTATTACTTAGCAAATTTTTTAGTAACTTTTACCTTTGTGTGCATTCTACAGCCCAAGTCTGTCATTGTTGGATTAATTAAAGAAATGATTGCCAAGTTTCAAGAGGAACTTCCCCTATATTCTCTATCATCATCTGATGAAGCACGGCAGGTAGACATGCTAGCCTATATTGCAAAAATCACTGAAGGTTTGTATTTCTGTCAGATTGTCTTAAAAGTTATGAGTTTACAATTTCTTACTAATGACCTTTACTCTCTGCTATTTTAAATACATATGGACATTTATATGTATATTTTGTGTTCAATTAAAAATCCCATACATATATAATATAGTTCCATACTGTTTCTTAAAATGTAAAAAAAAATTTACTCTTTTATGAACAAGTAAAATAGTTTTTGTTTCATTCAAAAACACTTGATATATAATAATCATCCCAAACCTTTTTTGTTATGTGTTTATGTAGTTCTTGTTTCATTCAGAATACTAGATCAGAAGATTTGTAATTCTCAATGTTTCTTATTGAGAATAAAGTCACATATTCATGATTGGAAAATTTCAGTAGGGTACTAAACCTTTGTATTTTTTTTTTTAGTCTTATACAATATTTTTTTAAATATTTGGAAAGACACTTTCTTTTTAAAAGGATAGCCTCCATTTACTAGAATATTTAAAATAAGACTCATCTTTTTTATCAGTACAAATATTACTAATTTAATGTAAATGTACAATTCACATTAGAAATGCATATACTTTAAATGTGTGATAAAATTTGACTGTTTGATTTACCTTTGTAGCTATCACCAAAAACAATATGTAAAATCCATTCTTACATTTTTAGTTAATAGCTCCTCTTCTACAAGAAACTCTGATTTTTATAAGTCTTCTTTCATGTATTTATTTTTTTCAAAAAGTATTTTTAAAAATTTTTTTTAGTTGTAGAGATACACAATATCTTTATTTATTTATTTTTATGTAGTACTGAGGATTGAACCCAGTGCCTTATACATGCAAGACAAGTGCTCTCCTGCTGAACTACAATCCCACCCTTCAACAAGTATTTTTAAGTGCTTATTATGGACTAACACCATGTTTTCTAAGTAACTGAAGTTTGGCGTTTTTTTAATTTTGGGTTTTTTTGTTTGTTTGTTTAGTAATGGGAATTGAATCAGAATCACTTTACCACTGAGCCACATCCCCAATCTTTTTAATTTTTATTTTGAGACAGGGTCTTGACAAGTTGCTTAAGGCCTCACTCATTTGCTGAGGCTGGCTTTGAACTTGCAATCCTCCTGCCTCAGCCTCCTGAGTGACTGAAGTTTTTTTTGTTGTTGTTGTTTTTATGTTATCTGTGTATGAAGGTGCACATTTGTAATCCCAGTGATTCAGGATTGCCCAAGGGATAGCAGGGGGAGTTGATGTGATTTTTGTTTTTTTCATTCTCAGCATCATCCACTTTTCTTGATAGGTGTCTCAGACATAAATTCAAAGAGTTGGACAAATTATGAGATTAAACCAGTCAATAAAATTACCGTGGTTGGAAATGGAGAGTTGGGTATTGCCTGCATCTTAGCAATTTCAGCAAAGGTATGTAAGCATAGTGGTTATAAATACATATATCATAGTGCTACACTTTTAGGCAGTTTTATTAACATTCAAAAAACAATGGTTTGGCTCGGCACAGTTGTAATCAAGCAACTGGGGAGGCTGAGGCAGGAGGATCACAAGTTCAAGGCCAGCTCAGCAACTTTGTGAGGCCCTAAGCAACTTATTGAGATCTTGTCTCAAAATAAAAAATAAAAAGGTCTGGGGTGTAGCTCAGTGGTAAAATGCTCCTAGATTCAATCCTATACCACACAAATAAATAAATAAAAATTTAAAAAAGTAATGGCTTCGTTTTGTTATGTAGGAAAACCTCATTTTGCCTGAAAATATATTTTGTGACAAAAAAATAGCTGAAAGTTCTCATCAGTCATGTTGCCTCTTAATTAGTGTAAGTCATGGGTAGGCTTTGAAAAAGTAATTTGAATAATGGTGTCTTCCTAATCTAAGGGAAACCTCAAAGTGACATTCCTCTGACTTAGACACAGATTATTTTGTGATTTTTGAGTCATGGTGTTTTAATTAAATTCTCATTTAATATTATATTTAATTTTAGCTATTTATAAAATTACCATTTTTAAAAAAGGATTGCCTTTTCTTATATAATTGCTTTCTTTTGGGATCAGACTTTCTGAGTTAATATGTTACATTAGTTTATGTTTTGTTTTGTTTATATTCCTGTCAGTTCTTTTTTCTAAGTCTTTTCTAATTGTTTACATAAAGATCTAACTCCCAGTGAGGTAAAACAACTATCATGGTGATAGCATATCTGTAGTCTAGAAAACAGCTGTCACTATATGTTTATTTAGTGACTGTTTTTCTTTTTCTATAAAGTTTTTCTATTAAAATTTGATTATTTTGATGTCTAAATTCCTCCTTTTCCATTTAAGACTCACATATATCTTGAAGGTAGGTTCTATTTCAGCAAATAATCAAGTTAGAATAATTTTAAAGTTGACTGTTCAGAATAGCATATGCTGAATTTTGGCATATTATAGTTTCATTTTCCTTACCTGTTTTCCTCATCTGAGTACACTGTTAACTCTTAATTGGAATTTGAGTTGTTTTTACTTCTTTTGTTACTAAATAAGATATTTTTTATTTATTTTACAAAGTAATGTAAAAGAAAATAAATATATAAAATACTTCTTATTTGTAAGTTGCTTATTTTCTGACTTTCTTTTGGGTATACATCATCTCAAAAATAATACTAGTGAGTCAGAGGGTATGGATTGTTTTATGGCACTCTTATATTAGTAGACTGCTCCTTAGAAAGGCAGAACTAATTTATGTTGCTAAGAATAATGCATATGTCAACTGCTTTTTGACATCCCTACGGTATTAAGTTTTATTAATTTGGGAGAGGGGGCAGAGCTGCTGGGGATCAAACCCAGGAGTACTTTGGCACTGAGCTACATCCCCAGCCCTTTTTATTTTTTATTTATCTTGAATAAGGGTCCTGCTAAATTGCTTAGGTCCTTACTAAGTTTCTGAGGATGGCCTTGAATTTGTGATCCTCCTGTTTCAGCATCCCAAGTGGCTGGAATTACAACAAGTGTAATTAATTTTTTGGGGGGGGTAATAATTTGACTTTTTTTGTTAAATACAAGTAGTCACCTTTTAAAAGTCATGTTTCCTTAACTGTTAGAAGAGTCATTTGTCTGTTAACTGTCTAGGTAAAACATTATTTTTTCTTTTTTAAACATGAGCATTTTGATACAAGGTATAATATTTAAATAATATATCAATAATAGCAGTCCAATAGTGGCAGTAGGTAGTAGTAGTGATAGTAACAGCAGTAACTAACCTTTACTAAATGCTTACTAGATGCCAGGCACTTGTCTAAACACTTGTCTTGATTCATTTTTACAGTGACCCTATTGTTTAGATGCTATTGTTTTCACCATTTTACAAATGAAGAAACCAAGGTTTGGGGAGGTTACCCACTTGCCCTAAATCACACTATTAATAAATGGTGTCACCAGGATTTGAAAATAGGTGGTTTGTATACCAGAACCTGTATTCTAGATCCTTACTGCTCAAAACATGGCTTTCAGACTAGCAATATTGGCATTTCCTAAGATTTTATTAGAAATCCATAATTCTACTTCTAATTCTGCATTTTAATAAAACCCTGGTGATCCATATGCTTTACTGATTCATTATAAAGCTTGAGAAGCTCTTCTCTAAGCCACTATATTATACTGCTTTATGATAATTGACCCCCCCCCCACCTACTGGGATTGAACTCAGGGATGCTTTTCCACTAAGATCATCTCTAGCCCTTTTTCTTTAATAAGACTTTTTTTTAGTGTGAAACAGGGTCTCATTAAGTTTCTGAAGGTATCTCACTAAATTGCTGAGGCTGGCCTTGAACTTGTGATCCTCCTGTCCCAGCCTTCCAAATTTCTGGGATTACAAAGTAAGAGTCATGATGAATATTTTAGTTTTTTTTTTAGTCATTTGAATATTCTTATACATAATATATAATTTTTTACATATGCTAATAAACTTGTAGGATAATTCCTATAAATGAGATTGATGGATTAAAGGAACTGTTAAATTTAGATTTTAAAATATTTTAAATTTTTGAAAAAAGTTGTCAAATTATTCCCTGTATCAGTTGTATTAGTTTATTCTCACTCCTACACTGTATGAGAATACCTGTTTTCCCACAACCTCTATTGTTAAACTTTTGGGCCTTAGTGTGTCTGATAAATAAAAATGGAAATGCTAGTTTTCCTGGCATTTTCGTTGTGAGTGTGGTTAAAAATAAAAAAAATTAATAGCTACAATTTAGAGAGGACTACTATGTATGTCAGTCCTATTATCAATCATATAGTTAGTCATATAATCAATCTTATAACCACATGCAGTAAGACTTGAGTTCAATGACTGTCCTAGTGTTACAAAGCTCACATATAAAATAGTAGAGTTGTTTTCTTAACCTTTTTTTTGCCTGAAAGTCTGGTAGATCTCTGGATACTTTTGCCCATGAACTCTTAGTTTTTCCTACTACTTTGGAGAAAGCCCTTCCACAAATATTAACTAACTCTTGGAGTTTCCATGCTGTTATTTATAGTCAGCCCTCCAGGCCATCCAGGGAGCCATTATTAGGCATGTGGAATATTCCATGAGCTCTCTGAGGAGGGTACCACATGATAGTAAAATTTGACTTTAGATTTATGGCTATTTTTTTTTTCCTTTTTGATTCTGGGAATTGAATGCAGGACACTCAACCACTTCCACGTCCCCATCCTTTTTCAAAAAATATTTTTGATTTAGAGACATAGTCTTGCTAAGTTGTTTAGGGCCTTGCTAAGTTGCTGTGGCTGGCTTTGAACTTGTGATCCTCTTGCCTCAGCCTTCCAAGCTGATTTTTTTTTTTTTTTTAAGCAAAAGCTGGAATAATTTTGACTTTCATGCTAGGAATGAAGTGCTAAAATAGGCCCCCAAATCATTCTAAACATTTCAGAAGGGAAATTGCATGGAAATGAAGGGAGACCCTCATTGCTATACAAAATTACATATAAGAGGTTGTGAGGGGAATGGGAAAATAAACAAGGAGAGAAA